AACATAATCATCAAACAGATAAATAACTCCCAAAAGCCCCGTGTTACGTATCAGAGCATCCCTACGACTCGACTCGCCACAATCCAAGCTAGCTACGCACCTGGATTGTCTGTACTTCCGAAGAAGCACAGACCACAACAGCAACAACGAGGGGTGAGAAATCACGATCAAAATATAACGGTAATAATGTACATGAATAAAGGCAGAAACATATAAACATCATTTCACATACATCAGATTCGGACCTACTGTCCCATGCCAACTCAACACACATAACAATGCAACACATGCAACTCGACACAATGATATGCGGTACCGACTCGAACTCAGGATAGATCGCATACACTCCATCTGAGCAATGATCTATCCCTACCACGCTCCTCCTGAGCCCATATAATCAATCTCAAGATAGATCAGCAGCAAAACACAAATTGCTGTCGGGCTCGCTGGCACATTCGCCTGGCGAAACCCCGTAGCGAATACTCGGTGGAGCTCACCCAGCAAAACCCCTGGCGAAGCCAGACAATAGCTACTGGCAGCACTCGCTGCCCAGTTCGCTTGGCGAAGGCTCGCCCCCCTCATTTGCCCAGCGAATGCTGGCGAATACCAGCGATTTCAGAAAAATCCCACTGTGCAGAAACAACAACTCTCTCCGAATTCACCCGATTACGCGCAAACCAGCTTCTAACACAACTAACCAACATTCTACGACTTAACTACAGAATCTATTCTTCATTCCATCCGATAAAACTTCAGCTCTACTCAATTAATCAACTTCCGGCTTAAAACGGTAAACTACCGAAAACCTCAAATCAACCCAACATCTACATGCAATGGATGAATCATTCCAACAACAATCAAAATCACAACAACATATCAATTTGATTCATCAAAAACCTATGGGGTTAGGGAAATCCCCTTCTACCACTTATTCATGCATTACCGAAATTTAACCGATTCTTCTCCCCCCTTACCTCAAATACAACTCTGATCGAAGAAACTTCAAGAATTCCACAACCAAGTTCCTCTTGTTTCTTCCTCCAACCATCTCTCCCTTTTGCTAGCTCAAGCGTGTTCTTCTTGATCGTTCCTCCTCTTTTTCCCTTCTACCGTGCTTCTCTTCTCATGCGTGCTCTTTCTCTCTGTTCCTCTTCCAATTCCCACAATTGCCCATAATACCCCAAAAATCCTCTTTTTAATTCCAATAATTCCAATAATAATATTTCCTCATTTTCTTAATTCCAAAATTAATATTAAAACCTCATAATATCAATATTAATAATAATAATAATACTAATATCAACATTAATATTAATTATTAATTATTATCATTATCGATTATATAATATTAATATTATGCTCCTTATTTCCTCAACAACTTTCCACACAAGACATGCCGATAAAAGAATAACACGGGAAAACTTAAATAATTAAAATGGGCGTTACATTCTACCTTAATTTTATCTATTTCTTTTGATTGACTTTGTATGTGAACAAACGATGATTAATATATAATGAATATTTTTGTTCTTAAAGATTCATTCTTGTTTTGTAAAATTCTACCTTAACTTTATGTATTTCTTTTGATTGACTTTGTATGTGAACAAGTGATGATTAATATATGATGAATATTTTTGTTCTTAATGATTCATTCTTGTTTTGTAAAATTCTAGACATAGATTTTATGAAACTTGACCTAAAATATTCATCTATCGATTTATAGATTGGAGAGATCGGTTTATGGTTGACATTTTCTTTGTATTGAACTTAAAGCTTACTATATTAGTTGTTATATGGAGAGATCATGTAGCGATGAATACAATATTTCTCACAACACCGCTCTAGAGATAGACGGTATTGAGAGAATGCGCGATGATATTAATCGGATCCGACTTCACATGTAAGATTGAAAGAATACGTATAAGTTAGGATAGATGAAAACTACTTTTGATATGCTTTGTTAATCAAACACTTTAGAATTTAAAGCTTTGCTACTAAAATCGTGACAAATTATGAAACAAACTTTGAAAACCCTTTTTCTTAGAACGGTAAACTATTGAACGACAAACATCCCATATGAGAACAATCCCTGTGGAAACGATACATACCCCCCTCCTTTAACTACGATTCAAACACTCATATATAGACGTCTGTTGTTCTTGTCTTTAACTTTTGCATCCAATTCAACAAATCGACTTGGAGATTGAGAAAGTAAAGTATGTTGCTCGATCAAGATTTTAGTCCTTCTTTGAAGTCATTTGGCAGAATTTTATTTAAGCCTAACAACTTGAACATCTTGTTCAAGAATAGGATCAAAGTCTAAGACAAAGTCAGCAATGGAAGTCAACACCTCTGGCTTGAATCATTAAAGTTAAAATCATCTATAACAAAAGTATTGGCAACATCATTTATATCCCTAGGATGTCTATGTCTCCTTGATAACGCGAAAACGTATATATTAAATGCCATGATTTTATGCTACTAATGTTTAATTTCACCCCGATTTCGGACTTCTCCGCATTGTTTGTTAAGTATTTTTGCAGGTATGTGAAGTTCACACTCAAATGAAGCAAGACAAAGAAAACAAATGTTAGAAGACACAAGACAGAAGAAAAAGAACGGAAAAAAATAGCAGAAATGAGATTTTGCTGATATGACGATTGTCACAGGTCCCCCACGACCGTCACGAGTGTCACGATCGTCATGTGCATCACGAACGTCTTGTCTCCTTCACGATCGTCACACTTGCAAAAACATAATAACGTTCACTTTTAAGAACGTGTCAACAGAAGCCCATAAAATATAATCACGACTCCCTAGATTCTCTCACCCTCAACTCCACTTTCCGAGGTATTTCACGTAAGAAACATCCACTATAAAAGGAGAGGTTCAGGACTGGAATCGGGGAGCCGCATTGAAGACCACAAAGTGCTGCCCAATTTACTATAAAAGCCAAACTTTGTTCCTGTTTCCTTTTTCTTTTATTTTCCTTTAAAATTCCAGTTGTACTATTTGCTTTAACTTTCTGGACGTTAATCGTCACCGAAGTAATAATCCTGCCGACATTGTGGGGGATTATTCAAGTGCCGAAGCAGAATTATTTACAGGTTATTTACTATTAATTAAGTTTCCGTTTGCAATTATAATGTATGCTTACATATTCTGCTGTTTTCATTCAATTATGTCAGCTTTAAAATCCATGTCTAGCTAAACCGTATCGATCGGTATGTAATGAATTAGTAGGACGAGATTCGATAACATCCGGCGTTTTTCCACTTTTTCAAACTTGTTTCTGGCCATAGTTTTTAATCTAAATTTATTAAACTAAACTTCGTCGCGACAGCGAGAATTTGTTTATAGTAATCTCGCCACGACAGTGGGAGATTCATTAAGGTATGAACCGACATACGAAAGCTGAGGCCAAGACCAAATAGTAAAAACTATGCATTTATTTTAAATACAGCAAAAACGCTTTAAAAGAAATTAGAACTCAATGGTTTTCAAAAAACAATCTTAACCCCAAATGGGATAGCGAAAGCATACGTTCCGCCTTAGAGTTGCGACTAGCGTCAACAACCAACGTGAGACAAAAGTCTTTAAACCGTTATTTTCTTCTGAAAACTATTTTGAATTTATTAAACTACGCCGGTGACTTGTCGAATCTTCGAAGAACTAAGGCATTGCATACCGATACCGATTTCCCGTATTAATATTCTAAAAAACCTTTTAGCCTTTATTTAATTTAGCCTTTATTTTTGCATCCTTTCCCTTAAACCATATCCAACCTAGCTAAACATAGTAACGCCCGAGAACAATAGTTTGATTACGAGTCCTTGTGGGATCGATATCTTTTATTACTACGCGATAGACCGTGCACTTGCAGTTAGTTCGGTTAGACTCAGAAAGTCGCGATCACTCCTCCCCAATTACCCTGGTCATTCAAACTGGTGAGAAGACAATTCTCAATCATAATTATTTTTTTATGACAATTAACAAATTTCAAAACCAATCATTAGACAATGTTAATTTATATTTTTTAAAAGATATTTGTATACACGGTCAACTTTATATTACAATATTAAGAGTCAATACTAAAAGAACTTAAAAATATTAATTCAATTGTTGTTTTCAAGAAAAAGTTTCACAACATTTAATAGGTAAATATATAATTATATACTTTTACTGAGTTTTTCTGTACTATACGATTTATAAAATCTTGACAGTTTAATATTTGAGTAATTCTCTTCTTTGAAAGTCAACATTTTATATTACTACATTTACTTTCATGGTTCAATCATTTGCTATGAATTTATAATGTGTATCCAACATTCTATTTTGTAGAAATTATTCTAATACAACCAAATTTTAATTATCATTGCATTGCAAAATTCATTATATCAATCATTTATAAAATTGTATCTTAATATTTTATATGCCTATAAGTGCAGATGTATGTGTATCATACTAGTTTATTGTATATATAATCAATTTGAAAAGTTATATTTATAGTATTTGGATTCTAAATCATATGCAAAACTTAATTAATTTTAATTAGCATTTAACCATAACTTTTTTCTTGAAACATTATCTTTTTTCAAATTAATTTCATAATAATAACTTTAAATTTAAAATTTATAATAAATTATTAAAGCGGAATAATTCAATATAGAATTAATATATAATTAAACTCATCTTTATATATAAAGAAACAATAGGTACATTGCCATAAAGACATTGCAATATTTGACAAAAAGTTTGTTTTATATAACTTTCATATATAAAAATATCTTTCATATTAGCCGTAACGTACTAGGAATTGAATTTGAAAAGGCAAAGAATCAAAGATAGAGAGAGAAAGAATGATGGTAGCTGGAAAAGGACAAGGCTAGAGACTGAGACTCCAATGCACATCCAACACTTTATACGCGTCTTTTCCAATACCATAGTTCAATAATCCTCTGTTGTTATTCTTGGACTGAAACTGAAGCATTTCAGAAAACATGAGTGATAATTTGAAGGAAAAAGTGAACGCTATAGGAGAGCGTCTCAAGCTCAACGGAGCTGAAATGGGTCGAAAAGTTAGTGCTGGAATGAGTACCATGAGTTTCAAGATGAAAGAGTTTTTTCAAGAACCAAACCAAGCTGATAAACTTGTTTCTGATGCTACTTCTGAGTCACTTGATGAGCCTAACTGGGACATCATTCTACATGTTTGTGATTTGATCAATGCTGAAAAGCTTCAGACTTGTGAAGCTGTGCGTGCGATCAAGAAAAGGGTGATGGTGAAAAGTCCTAGAGGACAGTATTTGGCTTTGGTTTTACTTGAAGCGTTGGTGAAGAATTGTGATAAGGGTTTCTTTGAGGTTGCGACGGAGAGAGTGCTTGATGAAATGGTTAAGATTGTTGAGGATTCTGATCAGAGTTTTGGTAGTAGTAAGGATAAGGCTTTGAGGATGATTCAGTGTTGGGGTGAATCAACTACTGAGCTTCGGTATTTGCCTGTTTATGAAGAAACTTACAAGGTAATTACTAATTTCACAGGTTTACGTCGATTGAAGGTTTAATATTAAGATGTTTTTTTGTTAATGTTTTATGTTGTAGAGTTTGAAAGCAAGAGGTATTCGGTTTCCTGGTTGTGACAATGAAAGATTGGATCATGTTTTTGCTCCTTCTGGTTCTGGTTCTGCCTCTGCACCTGAGGCTGTTCGCAGTCTTGAACATCTTATACAGCATGAAAATCATGTCACAGATTACACTTCTCAACAAACAAAAGAAGCTTTCGATGTTGCAAGAAATATCACTGACCTTCTATCTTCTGTGTTATCTTCTTCACCGCAACAAAATGTTCTCAAGGTATTTTTTTCTTCTTGATATGCATGTTAGGGAGTTCGGGGAGTGACATAAGTGTCAATGAGGTAAAAAAGTTCATGATCCAAGAGACCTCAACACCACCTATTCATCTATAATCTGACATCAGAATCATAATCAGGCTCCGTGGGACGTGGGACGTTGACATTTTCGGCGTTCTCTGGACTCCCGAACAATGCATTAGTAACTAGTTTGATTTTATAGGCATTTTCTCATATTGAGTTTAGCCTTAATATGCTTTGGACTTAAACCTACTACATAGACTTTCATTTTTTTTTGCCCTTTTAATAACAACTTACTACTCCAACACCTACAATTCAGATTAAAGGCATGTCTGACAGGGATCGGTGTCCAACACGATACTGACACATCTGATTACATTTTATCACTTTATTTTCTTATCTCGTTATCAATTTTGACGTGTCCCTGTCCGTGCCATATTCATGTTTGTATTAGTGCTTCATAAGTATGACAAAGTTAATGTCTATATTTCCTTTCATATGCAGCTTGATTTAACCATCACATTAGTACAACAGTGCCGTGAGTCTCAATCCACTGTCCACAGAATCATTGAGACTGTTGGGAACAATGAATCACTACTCTTTGAAGCCTTGCAAGTAAATGATGAGATTCATAAGGTTCTGTCCAAATATGAAGAGTTGAAGAAGAAGCCGCCGCCTAAAGTTTCTCCACTTAAACCAGAACCAGATATGATGATACACGTTGCTATTGAGCCAGATGAGTCGCCACATTTTAGAGAAGATGCCTTGATTAGAAAGCGAGCTAGTTCAAAGCCTGGAGTCCAAGGATTGAGCCATGATGACATGATGGATGATCTGGATGAAATGATTTTTGGCAAAAAAGGTGGTGATGCATCACAATGGGGACAAGATCCTAAGAACCAACGATCATCAAAATATGAATCCATTTCCTTATAAGTTGCTACTTTAATTCGTGCCTGAATACAGAATAGTATCTTTGGTTATATCTTATATGGCTTCCTACATTCAGATTCCATGTTTCATTTTTAATCATTTTTTGTTTAAATTTGGCACAATTTATGTTTGAATACATAGTAGTTTCTTGAAAAGTGCGTAATTAGTATATGCTTATCAGTAAGAAGGTGAGCATTAATATCAGAGCAACTTTGAATTTTGACTGATCCTACAAGAAATGAATAAGTGATGCAACTCAATATCAGAAATAATATTTGTAGATCCGAAACATTTGAATCTAGCAAACTTAGTAATTGACGTTTAAAATTGTGGTTAATAGGAAATAAACTTGATAACTCACTAAATAGCACTCAAGCTTGATGGTAAAGAAAATTCAAGGCCAAACTAAACTTTAGAAAAATCCAAGCTATGCCTATAACTATGTTTATGATAGGTTTAGACCTTGAATTTTCATGAGTGCAAATTTAAACATAAGGTGTAGTATCACTATTATAGATAAAAATACAACTACAAGTCACAACCAAAAAAATTAAGACAAGAGACAAATAAAAAGCTATCTAACATCAAATCAATTCATAATATACTACCAAAAAGACTTGGACATCGTAGACTTGAACATCCCTCCCACATTGTAATCAAAACCATTAAACAAAGATTTCCTTTACATTGTGATCATTCTAATTATGTTTGTGAATGTTACCATTATGCCAAGCAAACAAATTTTTTTTCTTCCTCAAAAGCACACTTAAAACTGCCACAACTTTTAAACTAGTCCACATTGATATTTAGAGTTATTTTACACCTCATCTGTCCATTGAAATTTTGGCATTTTAAGATAGATGTTGGACTGATATTCCAACACTAAAATGCAATGTCAAGATAGATGTTACAACATCATCTCTGACAAAAAACAATTAAATGCAGAAGGTAAATTGCAGAAGAATAAATAACACAGTGAATTGTTAACCCAGTTCGGTACAACATCACCTACATCTGAGAGCATTCAAACCAGGAAGAAAATTCACTATAATAGCATTAGTTCAAAGCTAAACTCTCATGTTTACAACTTCTCGCCTAATCATTATCTTGTGCAACTTCTAACTAGAAACCTTCTATATATGAGATCCATCTCTCACTTTCTAACGGTCATGAACCAGTGACAATACCTCAAAAAACCAAAATAAAAAAATACGCTTCCAATAAATAATATTTAGTTTTGCTTAAAAGCTTAAGAGTGAACAATAAACAACATATAATCAATCTACCTCAATGTATCAAAAGACACATGGGTGAATTACAAAGTCACACTAAAGAGACTTTTAAAACCTAAGACTCTAAAACTTCCCCTTATTTTTACAAAAGTGAAAGCCATTAAAACATTAGGTTTAGGTTGCTCTTTAAATACTCCTTAGCAGTTCATGGGCTTCGAAATCTTCATCCAGATATTTCTTGATCCGCACGCTAAGGGTTGTATCAATTGTGCAGAAAAAATCTCCTTGAGTCTTGGAAAAAATCATATAGTTTCCTAAATTGACTCAACATCCAATTTTAGAAACTCATGAACAATTGAAGATCAAATCAAATGTTCTAGATTAAATCTTCTTGACCTGCGAAAATAAGTGAGATATATCCAAACGAAACCTCACAAAACCAAGTCAAATCTGTCAAGAATAAAACAACATGTACTGATGTTCTGGTGCAACATGTCAAAACATATGTCAGAACATCTGCCTTCAATGTTAACTGACCAGCATGTTAGGACAACAAACCCAACATCTTGTTGTGAACCATATTTTAACAAAATTGTTGTCAATCTTAAAATCATGGAACTTACAATCTCCCCATTTGGTAAATTTTGGCTAAAACAACCTTTGCACAATAATTCTGGAGAAAATGAATAAAACCACAAACACAAAACACAAACTACATGAAAACATGTAAACTTTGTACGAACTGCAAATAGAAAGATATCAGAGATAAAATGCAGCTACAAATCATCAGAGATTACAACTCCTTCAAACTCCATAAATCTCTAGAGATCAGATGTCAAGACATGTGGTTTGACATCACATCAGCACAACTCCAACACGACTCCAACACAACAACCTCGGACAGATCCATTACTCCCCCTCAAAGGAAAAATCCAAATCACAAGAAAATCCAAAACATGAACTATCCAAGTTCACACATCAGAGACACATGCAGCAGAAGAAAAATAAGCCTCACAAATAAACACATTAGGAAAGATGTTAGAATATCTGGTATGATATCATGCCACACATACCACATCAGTAGTAGTAGCAATAAAAAAATCCCTCAAGCACAAACAAGCATGACAGATAATCATGTTCCTTCTAAACAATTGCATATAGCAAGCATCAAAAATAGACTACTCTCTACTTAGCAGTAGCAAAGTTCTATCACAATGTTAATCAACATGTTAAAAAATGTGACATGACATCAGGACAAACAAAAATACACTAACATTTTACTCCCCCCCCCCCTTTTAGCCAAAAATTGCCAAAAATTAGAGTAAATATAAACAACAAGTTGGAATCACATAATGGATACAAGCATAAACACAGATGGAAGCACACAAATGGGAGCATAAAGTAATGGAAACACATATAACTTGGTGGAAATACACATTCTTGATCATCTTCAAGTGATCTTCTACCTCTTGCCCTTGTCAAAGATCCTTCTGCACCTCTTGTTGTTGTCACATGTTTTATGAGTGTTGACATTGAACTCCCTTGCCACAACCTTAAAACATGTCTTCTTCAAACTAGTCTTTCTATCTTGCAGAGATTTTTTGTTCCATCCCTTAACAATGGCAACTTGCTTAGGTTTATCATGCCTCAGAGAATAAAGGAAAGATACAGTATCAGTTGCATTCCTCCATACCTATAATTTCTATAAATCCTTAATAGGGTATGTTCCTAGCCCATTGCTTATGTTCTCAAATTGATTTGCATATAAGGCTTTAGTAAACATAATAGTCAGTTGTTCCTTAGTGTCCACATGCTCCAAAGTAACAGCCTTGCCTTCAACAAGATTCCTGATTAGTTGATTACGACTATCAAAGTTCTTGTTCCAGCCATGTTGAATGAGATATCTGATAACATTTAGATCTTCACAATGTAATGCCATGACATCCAGCTTGAAATTATATTCCTTGTTTCATCCACACTAGTTAAGAGCAACTACTTCTTGTTTCATCATATTCAACTTCAGCAATGTTCCCAGAAGCACATCCATTATCATTGTAAAATTTTTTCATCATGAAATTAGTGTTGTGAAAGTAGAACACACCATAAACACTTGTTCCAATTATTCAATTTAAGATCTTCTATTTTTGAATAATAGGACTCATCCTTGGTTCAAGCTTAGAGACAATACAAGAGTTTTATATTTTCTTTGTAAATTCACTGATGTTGTCTTCAGTAGGGTGTCTTGCGATGAATTCCTTGGATTGTTTTGTCTGAAATCTAATAGAGAGACTTATTGTGACTTGAGAGTTATCTGACATAATGCTAGTGAAATTATAACTTTCTTCTCTTCCTGCCTCATCAGTCTGCCCAGAGGATGTTTCAACATTGGATTCAACATACATCATTTGCTCAGTAATTGAATCATCAATTACCCCACTAATAAATTCCATTGTCATTCCAGTTCTGGAGTTAAAAAGTTTATAAACTCTGCTGCTTGAAGAGTAAACTAGAAATATCCCTTCATCACTTATGGAAGCTATCTTACCCTTTTGATCTTTGTCAATCAAGACATATCATTTACTTCCAAATATATAAAATTATTTGACTGTAGGTTTTCTTCCTTTCCATAGCTCATAAAGAGTGGTTGAAGTACCTCCTCTCAAAGTGACCCTATTATGAATGTAGCATGTAGTGGTCATGGCCTCAGCCCAAGAGTTATATGGCAATTTCTTATCATGAAGTATGACTCTAGCTGACTCTTGTATATCCATAGTCTTTTGCTCAATAATTCCATCTTGCTGAGAAGAAAATTCATAATTGATATCTTCAGAAGTACAAAGTTCAGAGAGATAACATCCTCAAACTCCTTGTCATGATAGCTTTTAATCTTGACAATCTTACCTTTTTTCTCCTTTTGAACATTTTGACATGATTCTTTAAAGACTCAAAGGTGTCTGATTTTCCCTTAAGAAAGTTTACCCGTGTAAACCCAGAAAAATCATTTATAACCACATAGACATACCTCTTTCCACCCAAGTTTTCTGCCTGCATTGGTCCCATTAACTTCATATGCAAAAGTTCTAGAACTTTGGAAGTAGTCTGATGTTGTGACTCGGTATCTGACATCTTGGTTTCCCTCCCAATTTGGCACTTATCACAAACTATGCTCTCTTCAATCGTGAGTTTTGGAAATCCTCTAACAACTTGCTTAGATATGATTTCCTTTAGTATGCTAGGATGAAGATGTTCAAGTTTTTGGTGTCATAGCTTCACTTCATCCTTATTTTCTACTTTCATCAGAAAAACGTCTTTATCAGTTTTGACTAGGCATTCTGTCTTGGAGAAATTAACTAACAATCCTTGGTCACACAACTGACTAATACTGATGAGATTAACAGTTATTCCTTTCAAAAGGAGAACATCTTCTAAAATAGGTGATTCAGCACACATCAATTTACCAACTCCTTTAATTTCCCATTTGAAACCATCACTAAATCTAACAGAATTTGTGGGATGAGATTTGATATCCACTAGAAACTTTTGAACCCCTGTCATATGTCTAGAGCATCCATTGTCAAAGTATCAGTCTGAAGGTGTGAAAAGTACACAAGAAGGGGGTTGAATTATGTTTCGCATTTTCTTATTATATGGCTTCTGATTAGAGTTTTGGAATCATGACTGATGTTCAAGTTCTGAGTTAATTCATTTGGCAGCAAATACAACAGAAGTAAATATAATAACATCATAAGACATAAAAGATTTATACTGCTT